TCATCTCCCACGCTCTCTCTCATCTCCCCCGTTCTATCTCTCATCTCCCCTGCGCTCTCTCTCTCGTCTCCTCTGCTCTCTCTCTCATCTCCCCCCGCTCTCTCTCTCATCTCCCCTGCTCTCTCTCTCGTCTCCCCCACTCTCTCTCTCGTCTCCCCCACTCTCTCTCTCGTCTCCCCCGCTCTCTCTCTCGTCTCCCCCGTTCTCTCCCTCATCTCCCCTGCTCTCTCTCTCTCGTCTCCCCCGTTCTCTCTCTCATCTCCCCTGCTCTCTCTCTCATCTCCCGTTCTCTCTCTCATCTCCCCTGCTCTCTCTCTCGTCTCCCCCACTCTCTCTCTCGTCTCCCCCGCTCTCTCTCTTGTTCTCCCCCACTCTCTCTCTCGCTCTCCCCCGCTCTCTCTCTCGTCTCCCCCGTTCTCTCTCTCATCTCCCCCACAATATTTTAGCGGAGATTTTAGCAGAGGCTGGAGTCGCGGCGTGGTGCCCCGACGAATGCGCCCAACCCCACTGTTCCCACTGGTGCAAAGTGTGACGTATTAACTGCGCGACACAACGAATCGATAACCCCCCGCACTCGGTGACGTAAATTCGTTGCCAACGCTTTTAATAATCGATTTTTATCGATATTATCAATTCGTTGTTGCAGCCCTACTTTACAGCCTTGATTAATTTTACATATTGGGCCGTTAGCTGGCACCTTGACTTGTGCTTCTTTGTGGCTGCATGATCTTTGAGATCTTTTAAATGTGCACAAGTATCAGTGATACAAACTTGGCAGTGCGCTTTCCCTTCTTCTGCACCACGTGAAATCCATGCCCTTAAAAATGCAGTCAGTGATTTTTTTTTATATTGTGGGAAAACGTCCCTAAACCCTAAAAGTAGTCAAGCTATCATGTGTTTTCAAATAGTAATGGAATTGACCAGATGCCTACAGTCTCCAAAATGTATTAAAAATATTTTGGAGTGGATCGATAAAAATAAACGAGTGGAGAGTGTTGTTTCGAGTTGGTGCTACGGCTAAGCTATCAAAATCACTTAATGAACCTTCAAGTCTGGATCTTTTTTCGACTTGATTCTGTTTTTTTCCTTTATTTTGCCTACTTTGACATTTTGACAGCTAATTTTTCAAAAACCTGCGTTTTGTCTGAGTGGCAGGAGGGAACGTGCATGCGTATGTGACGCATATACTGTAAATATTGTAACCTCAGCTAAAGGTAGTGAGTGTGTGATGTGAGGTTAAAGAGGGCAAGTTATTTCTGCCCGGAGAGAGGAAGAGGGATCCAAACAAGGGATCAAGTGCCGATGTTTTGGCTACAAAAACACACTGAACTGATCTGAAACCAGCCCAATTTTTAGCCATCCGCCCAAACCCATTTTTGCCTGCTAAATAGATCGCAAAACCGCACAATTGGGCGTAAAACCGACCCATCTGGCAACCCTGAAGACAGCACAGCGATATCTTATTACTTTGTAAAACATTACTACTATGGGGTACTCAAATGAAATGTTATACTTATGCATGCATGTTATTATCCAGACCAGGATTGCTGAAGCTGTATGACGTCTGGGAGAGGCCCGTTGATATTCTCTGGATTTCTTAAATACTCATTTTGACTTCTGATTCATCTCATGGTGCGGTAGGAGGCCTTGCTGCCACTCACTTCACTGTTTCTACCACCTCAAATGTACTGGACGGCACTACCACCTCAAATGTACTGGACGGCACTGTGAGTCCTGCGTTGAACAGTTTTTTGAGGAATTCTTAATGCATTTATGGAAAAAAACAGTTGCGCTGTTGGCTGTACTGTATGTGGACTACTTTCAATGCTACTGTAGTGGGCCTTTTTTGATTCAAGTGGTTTTTCAACTGTTGTGGATATTGCATTTATTTTGTGAATATCTAAATAACTATACTAAACTCACTTGGTAGCACGCATTTGTGTTCTGGTGCCTGTAACGTATCTTGAATATAAAATAAGTTACATTTGGGTTAGGTTGAAGTTATTCTGGATTATTATACATTGTTTTCCTATGGAGATGATGGTATTTCATGTGGAGCAGTCAGACCTGTCTTGTTTCATTGCAACCATTGTTACCATGTAGACTACTCTGTGAAGTATTATATATTCAATATAGTATAGTATTGTTGATAATTGGTGTTATCTAAGCAACTTAAGGTACAAATAAACATCCAATCATCAAGTAGTATTTTGGCACTGGCTAGTTCAGTGCTAGTCAGACATATGCAGCATATGTTACATGTGGGAAATGTAAATTGAATCCTTCTTTAGTCATATTTTGTTTACAGGGTATATAACTAGCCACAGACCTCTATACACACACCAACTACACCTCCCTTTGGGGACATGCAGTTCCATACACATCCACTAGGGGACGACATAGAGTTATACACAAATTGGGTGGGGGAAAAGTGGGGTCACACACACATACACAAAAAAAACTACAAAAGTCACTTTTTGGGACATTGAAGATTTTCAGGGAGAAATGCATTTCTGAGCTTAGAGATTCTATATTCAATGAAATCTAATTGGGTCTAATTGGGGACCATGATTTTGGTCCCCAATTGGAATTCGGTCCCCAATCTACTGGTGTGTATCCTGGTTGAAGTCCCCAAAATTGTCCTATGTAAACACACACACACACACACACACACACACACATACTTGTCTTTATCATCTCGTGGGACCACCAGACCAGGACATGCATTGTGGGACCCAGCCTTTCTGTAGGGTTTACAGCAGCAAAAAAAATCAGGCATGGCCCCCTGGAGGTCCTGAACAGTAATATCACGTCAAAATCCAAGGTTTTTAGCTACTTTTAGTCCCACACATACACACTGTCAGGTTTTAAGCTACTTTTAGTCCCACGCATACACACTGTCAGGTTTTTAGCTACTTTTAGTCCCACACTTACACACAGTCAGGTTTTTAGCTACTTTTAGTCCCACACATACACACTGTCAGGTTTTTAGCTACTTTCAGTCTCACACATACACACTGTCAGGTTTTTAACTACTTTTAGTCCCACGCATACACACTGTCAGGTTTTTAGCTACTTTTAGTCCCTCGCATACACACTGTCAGGTTTTTAGCTACTTTCAGTCTCACACATACACACTGTCAGGTTTTTAGCTACTTTTAGTCCCACACATACACACTGTCAGGTTTTTAGCTACTTTTAATCCCACGCATACACACAGTCAGGTTTTTAGCTACTTTTAGTCCCACACATACACACTGTCAGGTTTTTAGCTACTTTTAGTCCCACACATACACACTGTCAAGTTTTTAGCTACTTTTAGTCCCACACATACACACTGTCAGGTTTTTAGCTACTTTTAGTCCCACACATACACACTGTCAGGTTTTTAGCTACTTTCAGTCCCACACATACACACTGTCAGGTTTTTAGCTACTTTTAGTCCCACACATACACACTGTCAGGTTTTTAGCTACTTTTAGTCCCACGCATACACACAGTCAGGTTTTTAGCTACTTTCAGTCCCACACATACACACTGTCAGGTTTTTAGCTACTTTTAGTCCCACGCATACACACAGTCAGGTTTTTAGCTACTTTTAGTCCCACACATACACACTGTCAGGTTTTTAGCTACTTTTAGTCCCACACATACACACTGTCAGGTTTTTAGCTACTTTTAGTCCCACACATACCAGGACATCTGAGATAACTTCTGTTGTGATTCAGGGCTATACAAGAATAAATTGTATTGTATTGTATTGTATTGTATTGTATTGTACGACTATTTGGACTTTTGTGATTTTAGATGTTACAAAATAAATTGAAATTAATTATTTAAATCCTATTTATGGGGTGAGTATACTCAAATCTGTAAAGTAATAGAAAATCAGACCATATATTTAACAAAACTCATACACACAGTCTAGTTTTAAAGGCTTTTTAGATCCACTCCAACACACAGTCTAGTTTTAAAGGCCTTTTAGATCCACTCCAACACACAGTCTAGTTTTAAAGGCCTTTTAGATCCACTCAAACACAGTCTAGTTTTAAAGGCCTTTTAGATCCACTCCAACACACAGTCTAGTTTTAAAGGCCTTTTAGATCCACTCCAACACACAGTCTAGTTGTAAAGGCCTTTTAGATCCACTCCAACACACAGTCTAGTTTTAAAGGCCTTTTAGATCCACTCCAACACACAGTCTAGTTTTAAAGGCCTTTTAGATCCACTCCAACACACAGTCTAGTTTTAAAGGCCTTTTAGATCCACTCCAACACACAGTCTAGTTGTAAAGGCCTTTTAGATCCACTCCAACACAGTCTAGTTTTAAAGGCCTTTTAGATCCACTCCAACACACAGTCTAGTTTTAAAGGCCTTTTAGATCCACTCCAACACACAGTCTAGTTTTAAAGGCCTTTTAGATCCACTCAAACACAGTCTAGTTTTAAAGGCCTTTTAGATCCACTCAAACACAGTCTAGTTTTAAAGGCCTTTTAGATCCACTCATACACACTGTCTAGTTTTAAAGGCCTTTTAGATCCACTCAAACACAGTCTAGTTTTAAAGGCCTTTTAGATCCACTCATACACACTGTACATTTTAAGCTATTTTTAGTTACATTCAAACATGGAGTCAAGATGCTTTAGATACCTTTAAGTGAAGTTGAGTAAATCTCTTAAGTAACAGGAAAGCAAGTGATTCATTTTACATTTATTGAGTGAAACAATGCCTTACTGCAATTCTGTGTTTAGTCTCCAGAACTATAACAGTGTTTGGGTAACATAACGTTATCAGGAGTGCCAATAATTAAATCAGTCTTTGTGCTTAAAACATAAACAATGTTTTAAGAACAAGACTAGACAAGTCCAACAGAGACTAGACACATTTTCAAACAATCTCTTAGAGTGTTACATTTTCAAGTTAGAAACACTTATCGTAGTTCCTTTTTCCCGGAACACAGCAGGAGGTTATGAAGGACCATCACGTGCTTCTCCATAACATTAATCTCCTCCTCCTGCCACCTTCTCATGGTTGACATGTGGACTGAGGAATAGAGTAGACAGAATTAGCCACAAATAACATTACACAGTATTTAAACTGGACTTCGTACTTTTATAAATTCCTGTTTTAACTGGTGAATTTGAGCTCATTGTAAAGCTTTTTCAGACTCAATTGTGTAATTGTCCTCATCAAGATCAAGATCTACAGCTTCCTCCTCAGTCAGAGTATGTGTCTTGTCTTTCTGGAAGACATACACACTTTAAAGACAATTTTAGATGAAGCCCATTAATAAAATATTTTGTGTGGCTAAGATTAGGCAAGGCTGCAAGTACACCATTGCCACTCCAACCCAATAGCTATTTTTTCAGGGAATATGTAACAATAGACAGAACAACAAAAAGCATTGCGTAACTTTTTATACCAAGTTATTATAGTGTCACTGTCAATATCAACCTCCACCGGGTCTATTCAAGTAAACAATAACATTAGTTAAACCAAAGTAGGTCATATCCGTATAGTGTAAATAATCAATGGGATACATAGTGTATTTGAATTAATATCCAATTAAGTTCTAGTAAACTATGAAAAAAGCAAAACTCTGCAGTTCCCTCAACATCAGTGGATCTGACGTGTGTGTCCTGGGTCTCTTTAGTATAGTAAACCCAGAATCTAGTTTTGAGTAGTGTCAAGGATACAGTTTGGATGACCTGCAGTCCCTACAACAGTTGACCAAACATGTGTGTATTACGGATATCTTCAGTATGTACTTGCAGACGGTGAACTAAATGAGTGTTGTTTCTTGTGTGTTGTATGTCGAGTAATCTGAGACAATTGAAAGCAACGGTGGTATTTATGCTTTCAAGCTGAGAATGTTCAAATCAAACCTTCCAAAAACATGTTTTAAATAAAACAGTTACCTTGTCAAGGCTTTCTGAATGCTGAGTATCTTGTTGACATGTTGCCCTCAGCAAAGTGGGTCAAGATTCCTGGTTCTCCTCCACCTAAAGACAAAAGAGACCATAGTACCAACAATGTTTGATACAACACTCAGGGATACCATCAATTAACAACCTCTTCTGTGGTAAAGTTACAATGTAGAATTCTTCCTATCTACATCAATTTCCTCTTTGAGATTCAAAGTGTATTTGAAAGAATATCCAATTAAGTTCAACCCTGCCACTGTGGTCCCCATTACAACGATGTATTGAAGTAGATTACTGACCAATCTGGAAGAAAAAGTAAAATATAAAAAAGCAATACCCAGAATTACGTTATAAATTCAGTTTAGACTAAACTCTGCTTATCATTCGTGGATCTTATGTGTGTGTCCTGGACTTCTTTAGTATGGTAAAACCAGAAATATTCACACACAAGACTTCAAAGACATAATTATTTACAGCTTAGAGAAGCTGCTGCGGTCCCCACAAAATGCAGACCTGAAGTGTGTGTCATGGTCCTCTCTAGTATAGTAAACCCAGAAAGATGCACACATAAGACTTCAAAGACATTATTATTTACAGCTTAGAGAAGCTGCTGTGGTCCCCACAAAATGCAGACCTGAAGTGTTTGTCATGGTCCTCTCTAGTATAGTAAACCCAGAAAGATGCACACACAAGACTCCAAAGACATTATTATTACAGCTTAGAGACGCTGCTGTGGTCCCCACAGAAAAGCAGACCTAATGTGTGTGTCCTGGGCCTCTCTAGTATAGTAAAATCAGAAGAATGAGATAACAAATGAAAATAGATTATTACAATTTAGAGAAGCTGCTGCGTTCCCCACAAAAACGGATGATCTGTTGTGTGTGATGGACCTCTGTAATATAGCGATCTACTTTTGAGTAGTGTTTCTATCATGAATACAGTTTAGACTAACCTCTGCAAAACTCCCAACAGTCTCTCTAGTATTTATTAGCAGATAGTGAACTAAACAAGTGTTTATTCATGTGAGAAAAAAAATGTACAAACAATCTGTCTCTAGTGCATATTTGTCATACCCCAAAATACTGTCATATGTTATTGCAGGAAAACGGGGTTCCACAAAGTATTAACTCATTCTGTATAATGAATACTTGTGCAGGCCCAAATTATTTAAAAAATAATAACAGAATCATGATAATTTTACTTTTGCTTCACAGTTGTCTGTTACTTGTGTGTGAACTTTCAATAAAAAGTTCACAAAAGTTCAAGCTGAATTCAAATTTTTGAGAGGCACTGTATGTAAAGAGAGGAAAGATGAGAGCTCCAACGGGCCATATCTGGGCCGCGGACCATGGTTTGCCCACCACTGTTGTAGCCTTCGGTTCCCCAGTGAAAGACCGGTATGAAATGTATGGGACACGAGACCCAAAAAACACGCGGGACTCAGCCCGTGCCTATGGGCCGTATGGGCACGGGCTGAGTGATCAGTGCGCACGATGAAAGTCACTGATCCGGTCTGGATCTGGTCTCAGGTCTCAAACCATAAGGATGTCCCCGTGTCTCGCACGCACGCGGGAGCAGCTCTGTCTCTGACCACACTTCACATTCTGATTCCTCATCAGCCCCTGATGAGTACATTATGAATGAAATGCGGTCTTGCTCCAGGACAGAAATGCTCCGTCATGTTTTGTTGCGTTAAGTAAACAATCTGCAGCGTGTTTTTGAGCTGTTGCTTTACGTGCGCGAACTTTAAAACTATGTCTAAAGGTGTGATTGAGCTGACAATCACTGGTTAAATATAGCATCATTTCACATAAAATACAAGTGATTTACTTGAATTAAATGCGTGCAATAATAATACGTGAGCCTTGTCATATTAGAAACTTAGATAATATATGATTATCAGGTGAATTTTATAGTTTATTTGTATTTGTCAATCCTCAAGAATTATACTAATTAAGAGATAATAATAATAGATCATTTATTTACGTATTGATGTGGTGCTTCACATTCCTGAGCTCCGCACACCGGGCAGGCGCTCACCGAGACCAGGGGCCGCACTGAGCTCACCGGGACCAGGGGCCGCACTGAGCTCACCGTGACCAGGCTGCCGCACTGATTCCTCATCAGCCCATGATGAGTACATTATGAATGAAATACGGTCTTGCTCCGGGACTCACCCCTTGCCTATGGTGCTCACGGTGAAAGTCACTGATCCGGTCTGGATCTGGTCTCAGTTCTCACGCACGCGGGAGCAGCTCTGTCTCTGACCACACTTCACATTCTGATTCCTCATCAGCCCCTGATGAGTACATTATGAATGAAATGCGGTCTTGCTCCGGGACAGAAATGCTCCGTCATGTTTTGTTGCGTTAAGTAAACAATCTGCAGCGTGTTTTTGAGCTGTTGCTTTACGTGCGCGAACTTTAAAACTATGTCTAAAGGTGTGATTGAGCTGACAATCACTGGTTAAATATAGCATCATTTCACATAAAATACAAGTGATTTACTTGAATTAAATGCGTGCAATAATAATATGTGAGCCTTGTCATATTAGAAACATAGATAATATATGATTATCAGGTCAATGTTATAGTTTATTTGTATTTGTCAATCCTCATGAATTATACTAATTAAAAGATAATAATAATAGATCATTTATTTACTTATTGATGTGGTGCTTCACATTCCTGAGCTCCGCACACCGGGCAGGCGCTCACCCAGACCAGGGGCCGCACTGTGCTCACCGTGCCCGGGCTGCTGCACTGTGCTCACCGGGTCGAGGCTCAGTGGCATGATGTGCGCGAGCATAAATACGTTATTATGAAAGTATATTAAAAACTGCAATAATGTTAAAACAAACTATAAATGAAAATATGTTTTACCGCTAATGTGCTTCTAGCTGCTAGGATAATTCTAACTAAGCTAGCTAACTCTTCATGAGTTCTGCATCTTTTAACTTCCCTTTTTCACAATGCAGGCTGTAACAGTGACTAGCTAGCACTACAAGAGGATTGTAAATCAATAAAAGTAGCTGTAATTAGTCCTTACCTATCAAGTGGTCTTCAATGTCCTCCATCACCTTGTACTCCAGCGTGAACTTCCTGTTGAGACGACTTGCGCATGCGCACTGAGCTTAGTGTGTGTAAGTGTGTGTAAGTGCAGTACCGCTTTCTCCACTAGAGGCCGATACTGAGTAAAATAAATTATACACACTTACACACTTTTAGTTGGTTTTCATCAATTCTGGGGTCCAAGCTGAAACTTTGCCAGCACGTTGGTTAATGTATGTAGTTATCAAAAATATAGTTAACTCTGGTGGGGACCGGCTTTTTGGTCCCCACTAGGATTTTGGTCCCCACCCTGTGAGTGTGCTGTCAGGTGCCGGTCCTCCCAAGGTGATAAAGACAAACACACACACACACACACACACACACACACACACACACACACACACACACACACACACACACACACACACACACACACACACACACACACACACCGGGAACCCCTTTCAGACTGAACAGGTGTCTCCTCTCCTCATCTCTTTCCCGCCCGTATGTGCCTCTCCCCCCACGTATTTATGTAACCCTCATTCACTGTGTTTTATGTGAGTGGTCCCAACACACCCAGCTTCTGGACTCTGCGTTGTGTTGTTTATGAGTGATAGGTGTGGTGGTGAGAGAAGGACCACAGCAGACACAGCAGTTCGATTTTGATTGTGGAAGTGCAGTTTTACTTTGAGGTTCTTGAAAGAAGTTGCTTGGCTCATGGGACCTTACAACGTAAAGGCAAAAAGAAAAGAGAGCGCGGATCAATAATACAATCATACTGTCAATTAATAATTATGCCTCTCCAACATAAAAACATTCTCCAAATTGCATAAACAAATTACATAGTACTATACAACACAATTAGCACTGCTGGAGCTGCTGTGTGGCTAGCTGAAGTTGAAGTACAAATAAAACCAGGCATATAAAACTGCTGATCACAAACAACTGCACAATCTTGTAGCTGAACATGTCAATCAAAGTGCAAAAAAAAAAATACTATCTTGATGGCAAATTTAAAGCCAGATGTTAATGGATATTTAAACAACAATTTGCGAGGCATACCTTACAACGTAAAGGCAAAAAGAAAAGAGGGCGGATGACGCGTTACGCAGCCAATTGACGCTGGCGCTACGGTGGCCGGCCCAGAACATAAGGGCCATAATAAAAATAAGGCCGTCACCCGAAAGAGAACCAGTCCGAGTGCCCCATCTAGTGGTCACTCCCTTACATCCACCCCTCTTTTAATTGATGGCGTCCGACCATCAGACACCCCCAGTCAAAAACGACAAAACAAAAAAAAACCCATAACACACAACAACAACAAAAAGAAGTTCAGTGTGTACATTCATGTGTGACCACAAATCCTTTTTTCTTTTACTCTTTGCCATATTTCTCTTCCTCTATCAATCTTTCTTTGGACACTGTCCCCCCCCATCACTTGGGTCTCATATGAAAGTCTCTTTGGAGGACGTTTCCTTACAGGATTTCTCCTTGTGGTACAGGGCTCTGGTGATGGGAAACACAGTTCATCAATCTCTTCCTCCCCCAGCCCTGTTAACGTTTCTGCCCCGGTTGAGGTCAGTGGGACTGGGGCTTGGCCAGCACTTATGGGGTCGGGGCAGTCGGCTGACTCCCCTACATCCTCCCCATCTGACTCCTCCATATTGTCAATGTCTTGTTGCTCATGTTCACTATCTGTTGCATTGCCGTCCTCCTGTGACGTTTGTCTCTGCTGCACAGGGAGAAACATGCACTGTGTTAATAGGTTGCGATGAACCACTCGCTCTGCTCCCCCAGCCTCTCTCCTTATCACATATACTGGGACGTTAACCTGCTTTTTGACTACAATGTATGGGTGCGACTCCCATTTATCTCCCAGTTTCTGGCGACCCTCAACATGACAAATCTTTACCAGCACCCTATCCCCTGGATTGAAAACCTGATCCTTAGCTCTTTTGTCATAGTGCTTTTTCTGCATCTCTTTAGCTTGGTGAGAGGACTGATTAGCCTGGGCGTACGCCTCGGATAAGGCGGTGTGCAAGGTTTGGACATATTCAGAGTATTCACATGGTGTGTTCTCAGTGGAGAGCCGAAAAACCAGGTCGACGGGTAGTCTGGGGTGTCTGCCGAACATAAGATAGTATGGCGTATACCCAGTGGAGTCGTGCTGTGTACAGTTATACGCATGAGTCATCGCATCAACATGTTCGTGCCAGCGAGGCTTTTGGTGGGGTTCAAGAGTGCCGAGCATATTCATTAATGTGCGATTAAAACGTTCTGTGGTGCCATTGCCCTGTGGGTGATATGGCGTTGTGTGAGTTTTAGTGATGCCTACACATTTGCACAGCTCTTTAACAATGGCGCTTTCAAAATTTCTGCCCTGGTCTGCATGGAGCTTGGCAGGGAATCCGAAGCGACAGAAGTAGTTTTTCCACAATGTTCTAGCCACTGTGCTAGCCTTCTGATCTCTGGTGGGGTACGCTTGAGCGTAGCGAGAGAAGTGGTCTGTAACAACGAGGACGTGTTCAATGCCCCCTCTAGATCTTTCTAATGTTAAAAAGTCAACACAAACCAGTTCCATTGGGGCACTAGTGTGGATACTGACCAGAGGGGCTCTAAGTCCTGCTGTAGGAGTTTTCCTCAGGCAACACCTTTCACATTGCTCGCACCATGTCTTGATCTCATGAAACATTTTGGGCCAGTAAAACCGCTCTCTTATCATTTGCAAAGTCCTCTCAAAGCCCAAGTGCCCTGAGTCATCATGGAGGGTGATTTTGACTTTTTTGCGTAATATCTCAGGTAGTAGAAGCTGCTCCACTATACCCCTTTGTTGGTCTTTGACTTTTCTGAACAAGATTCCGTTTGTCACCACCAACCTCCTCCACTCCTTTAAAAGAAGGCGCCCCTGCACACTCATCTCGGCCCTCTCACAGCGGCTTGGTTTTTTATTGCGGGTCCTTGAGAACAGGACAGGGCCAATGATAGAGTCCTCTCTTTGGGCCAAACGTATCTCATTTGTGGTCAATGCCGGGAGCGATTCTGTTCCCACATCAGTGTAGGGCTCATTAGTGTTGCTATCACTCTGGTGCGCATCACTTGTAGTGGGGGAGTTTACAGGTACAGGAAAACCACTGTGACATGTAACCTGAGGGCAAGACAGCAGGGCTTTGGCGACATCTTGATCGGACATCCGCGAGAGTGCATCAGCATTTGCATTGTTTCTGCCACTCCGATACTGTATGTCGAAGTTGAAAATGGATAGTTGTGAGACCCAACGCTGGCCTGTTGCATCGAGTCTAGCTGAGGACATCACATACTTAAGGGGGTTATTGTCTGTCAGAACTGAAAAATTGCGGCCATACAAATGATCGTAGAACTTATCCGTTACTGCCCATTTAAGGGCAAGAAATTCGAGTTTATGCGCAGGGTACCGGGTCTCAGGTGGTGTAAGGCCCCTGCTAGCATAGGCTATCACTCTCTCTTGCCCTCCCTGGATCTGTGCCAACACTGCCCCCAAACCACCACCAGATGCATCGGTTTGGAGTACAAATGGTCGACTGTAATCTGGGTAACCAAGTATTGGTGCAGTAACAAGTTTTTCTTTTAGCAGTGAGAAGGCAATCTCGCACATTTCAGTCCATGCAAAAGGGCGAGCAGGATCAGCATGTTTGTGCAAACCCCTTCTTTTTTCTAGGGTCACCTGATGTGAGGCAGTACAAAGGGGCAGCTATGGAGGAGAAGTTTGGGACATACCTCCTATAATATCCCACAAACCCAAGAAACTGGAGCACCTCCTTCCTGTTTGTTGGTCTTGGCCACTCTTTAACCTTGCTTATCTTCTCTGGCTCCGTTTTAACCCCTTCAGCTGACACTATGTGACCCAGATATTGCACCTCTTCTCTCACTAACTGACACTTGGAGGGCTTGAGCTTCAAACCATGCTGTCGGAGGCGGTCGAACACCTGCTGCAGTCTCTCTAAATGTTCATCAAAAGTCTTTGCGAATATGATCAAATCATCCAAATAGATCAGAAGGTGAGTAAAGTTGAGATCCCCGAAACAGCATGTCATGAGTCTCTGAAAGGTGGAGGGGGCGTTTTGAAGGCCAAAGGGCATTCGGTTGGCCTCAAACAGGCCCATGGGTGTACTGAATGCGGTTTTGTGTTTGTCCCGCTCTGCTACTTCCACCTGCCAGTAGCCTGATGTGAGGTCAAGTGTGGAGAAGTACTTTGCCTGTCCCAATGCCTCCAAAGCCTCCTCTATTCTCGGAAGGGGAAAAGCATCCCTTGTGCTGCACGAGTTTAGCTTTCTGTAATCAATACAAAGCCTAAGCGATCCATCTTTTTTGGTCACTATCACCACAGGAGAAGCGTAGGGGCTTTTACTGGGCCGAATGATTCCTGCAGCCTCCATGTCAGTGAGCATCTTCCTAACGTCCTGCCATTGTGAGGGGGGAATCTTGCGGTAGGGCAACCGAAAAGGTTTGGGTATGTCAATGAGTGGTATGTCAATGAGTGGTATGTCATGTTGCACAGTCGTAATATGACCATAGTCCGTTGGATGTTGTGAGAAAACATCCCTGTTTTTGTCTATGAGTTGTTTAAGGAGAGTGCGCTGTTGTTCATTCTCTGTTGCAGCCTCACTTAAATCCACTATACTCTCAGTAACAACATGGTTTAGACTCACACTGGGTTGTGTTGTATCCGAGGGACACACATGGCCTGGGAACTCAAGCACACTATCAACAAGAAAGGCATTAGCTAGAGGAGTCTGGGGTCTTATAGTGATACTACATTGGGACAGGTTCATAACTCCGATTGGGACATAGCCTTTGTCTACATTAGCCAGCACTTTAGCAATGAGAAGGTCCAGGGGAAGGCCGAAAGAGGCGTGGCTCTCGAGAAGGGCAGTGTATGTCTGCTTTTGGGGGCCAGCTTTTATTTTGCACTTCAAGTCCATTTCTTTCCCAGCAGGAATTCTCACTTTGCGACCAGCAAATACAGCGGGGCCCACCAGGTCACTTGTCTGTTTTGTCTCACATTGTTCAACTTCCAGTAATGCTGTGTACCACTCAGGATGTTCTTCCTTGAGTTGGTGCATGAAATCCTGCCCATAGGTTTCCTTAAGATAACTACGGGAGGCCCTGAGCACATTGGTACCCACTAAGAGAGGGACAGAGGAGCGATAATCAGAGTCAGGAACGACAAATGTAGGGACTGAATTAAACACTTTGCCCAACACCTTCAACTCTATGTTAATGAAACCCCTGTAAGGCACGGCCTGGCCCGCTGCCCCTTCTATAGGTACTGTGGAAGGCTGTAGTTTCTGCTTTCTCAGCACAGGATGTCTACTGTAGAAGCTGTCCGTGATTGTAGTAACCTGTGAGCCTGAATCAATAAGAGCAGTGCATTCTAACCCATTAATCACCACCCCTCCTTCATTTCTTGGCCCCACTAATAGCATCTGCTCCCCATTCTTGAGGAACGTTTTTGGGGGGGGACATCTGGAGGTGCCCATGGTGGCCCCTTCTACCACGGGCTTCACAAGTTTAAAGTCGGCACTGATGGAGGGGGGCTCTCAGTGACATCCGCAGACTGGGACTGCCTAGACAGTCCAGGGCCGCTATCTGTGAGGACACTTCTGCAGACACGAGCTATGTGTCCCTGCTTACCACACCTGTGACATGTGATACTTGCACTTTGGGGCCTACTTCTCAGCGCAGGTCTAATGGTAGGTGTAGAGTTAGCTATTTTTAATTCAAGGTCAGCAAGTTTAGTCATCTGCTCTTCTTGGTTCAGGGAAAGCTTTTTAACTATCTCTGTTAACTCAGATAACTCTGAAGTGGCTTTGCTTTTACCCCTTTTCGTGTCACTGTTAGGCTCTTCTGCTGTGTGGACCTGACTATACAACTTTCTCTGTTTATGTGGAGTTAGAAACCTATTACTCTCTCGGGCTAGGTCACGGAGCTCAGCTTGCAGCTCCCTGAAACTAAGCAACCTAGGCTTAAGAGGGGCAATCCTAGTGTATACACCCTCATCAATAAGTCCCCTCAAAAACTGACGAGTGAGCTTGCTATCCCTGTCTGGAAATGAACGCCCACCCCGTTGACTCTCTTCTACAGTGCGCAGTATAGACTCTAACGCTATAGCAAAAGAGCATGCAGATTCACCAGGTTTCTGACTGCGCTCATAGAAGTCTGCGAGTGGATCGAGGGAGGAGTGAGCCTCACTGTATTCTGCTTTTAGTTCATCAAATGCTCTTTCAGGGGTTTGTTCATGATAGGGCAAGTTTAACACAAGCTTTCTAGCCTCACCACTGAGGTGTCTCACCACTGTAGAAAATCGGAGGTGCATGGGTAACTCAACAGCATCGAGGAGGTACTGCATGTCCCTTATCCAATCCTCCACCAGTATTTTACTGTCCATGTTACCAGTGAAAATCTGTACATTTTTTACCTGGTGTGTCTGAATGAAGCCTCCATTAGCCGGGGCAGGAGAGCTTCTGCGGGTAGCAGCGCTGGCAGACATGACCCCAGGGGGCACTGGTGGGGCATGGTACAATGGCGCATTTGTTTCTAAGTTCAACGGAGAAGCAGGGGGGCACGAGGTGAAGGGTGACACACCTGCTGGGCCCCAGAGGTATGGTTGAGGAAGGGGGACTGAGCCAGGCACCACAAGCTGCCTTTGACCCATCATGGTTGATGAATGGGGTCTGACGGCAGAGTTGTGGTTAAAGGCAGGTGAGGGAAGCAGATGGCGATAATCGAAAAAGGGCAGACCCGTCGAGTGAGCTGGAGTTGGGTAAGCGTGAGTGGGAGGGGCCTGGGTGGGATCACGGAAACCAGTCTGTGTCTGGAGGGTGGAAGGACTAACTTGGCGTCCTTGCTCTTCTTCAGGCATATCAATAGTTATCTGGTGCAGCATGGTTGGTCTATTACAATGTGAATAATTTGTGTTTTAATACACAATTAAACAGCCCAAAATTGTATAGCCCAAAAAAAAAAAATAAAAAAAAAAAAAAAAACAAGTCAAATCTTCAAAATAAAATACCAAACAATTTCACAATGGGTAGCCATGAGATACAGTACAACCGGCTCCGTACTGAGCTTTTCCACCGTTCGGCGGCTGAGTTGATTTTATAACCCAGCTCAGCTTTAGGATGACTGGTCAGCGGGTGGCATCTAACCAAGCTTGGTGCGCGGATGAAGGGGGCCAATGGATCCGATGCAGAACGGCACGCAGGTACGGCAGGTCCAGCTGGTCCAAGATCAGGCACGCAGTCCACCACCTCGACAGCATTCACCACGGGCAGGACACCATCCAGGGCGAGCCAAGCAACAACACCTCTATGCACTTTTAGAAGTACCACAATCCGGGTCACGGCACCAAAAAGATGTAACCCTCATTCACTGTGTTTTATGTGAGTGGTCCCAACATACCCAGCTTCTGGACTCTGCGTTGTGTTGTTTATGAGTGATAGGTGTGGTGGTGAGAGAAGGACCACAGCAGACACAGCAGTTCGATTTTGATTGTGGAAGTGCAGTTTTACTTTGAGGTTCTTGAAAGAAGTTGCTTGGCTCATGGGACCTTACAACGTAAAGGCAAAAAGAAAAGAGAGCGCGGATCAATAATACAATCATACTGTCAATTAATAATTATGCCTCTCCAACATAAAAACATTCTCCAAATTGCATAAACAAATTACATAGTACTATACAACACAATTAGCACTGCTGGAGCTGCTGTGTGGCTAGCTGAAGTTGAAGTACAAATAAAACCAGGCATATAAAACTGCTGATCACAAACAACTGCACAATCTTGTAGCTGAACATGTTAATCAAAGTGCAAAAAAACAAATACTATCTTGATGGCAACTTTAAAGCCAGATGTTAATGGATATTTAAACAACAATTTGCGAGGCATACCTTACAACGTAAAGGCAAAAAGAAAAGAGGGCGGATGACGCGTTACGCAGCCAATTGACGCTGGCGCTACGGTGGCCGGCCCAGATCATAAGGGCCATAATAAAAATAAGGCCGTCACCCGAAAGAGAACCAGTCCGAGTGCCCCATCTAGTGGTCACTCCCTTACATTTACATAACAAAGTTGGCCGTTCACAGGTGATTTAGTTTGTTAGCTAAAATCCTCGGAGTCATTTAGCACCGTGGTGGGCTTTTTAGGTAGAAGTGCCAAATGGCACCTCCATGGGAATTCTGGTGTTAAAGGTATCTGTCAGTGTTCCCAGGGCAGTTGTGGCTACATTAGTAGTATATCACTACTATATGTTGTATAACATTGTTACGTTCCCCTTGTCTCAAGGGGAGGCAACGAAAAGGAGGGAGAACACGGCAAAGACTTTTGATGGCTCACTGGCCGTTTTATTTAAACAATAATGTGGAATCAGTGTAAATGGTCTGGGATGTGCTGGGGTGCGTGTGTGCGAATGAGTATCAGTGTGATAACCTTATGTGTGAATGTTGCAAGTGTAAAAGTGTGGAGTGGCGTGGCTGGCGGCGTGGAGTGCAGGCCCAGACCCTGTGGACAAGTCCAGGTGTCTGCAATTGGAGAGAGAGAGAGAGAGAGTGAGTGCTGCCTGGGACGCCCCTCTTAAAGTCCCAGCGCAGACACTCAGACAATCCTATCCTGCACACAGAAAAGGTTAGAGTGAGGGGAGGAGTGCACGCAATCCCATAGCTGGGCGCGTAACAAACATCAATGCATTATTATTGGATTTCAGCCCCAAAACTCCCCTTTGACAATCACAAGGACGGCCAATCATCATACAATTCTATCTTATTCTATGGGATAGAATAAGGTAAGATAAACTTTCACAAACTTGTCACAATTGAGAAATGTACCTACTTTAGTCACATTTTGCATGAATAGGATCACTCACAAAGACAGAAAATGTCCAACAAGGTAAAAAGATATCAAGATATTCCTCGGTGTGTGGTGTGTTCAGATTCCTGTCTGCTCGGGGGGACGTCGAGACAAATCAGGGACTTTCAACTTGTCAGATTGTTTAGGCTCAATCTCTTGTCGTGTGTGGTGTCTGGTCAGTTCGTGCTCACGTTGCATCCACTCCTTTTGACCAACACATTGTAACCGTCACAGAAAGAGCAGTCTGAACACTACAAAAAGTACTGAAAGTATGGTCAAAATTGCTAAAATTAGGCAAAATGTACCCTAATCTGAGCACGTTCTGACTGCCTTTCAACAAGATTTACAAATGGAACAAGCAAAAAGGTCTTGTTTTTAAAAATATACAAGAAATGTCTCCTTTAGAATGAGAGAATAGAGATACAGTTCTTGAAATAAGAGTAAATGGCTTTGTCCCTCTCGATTCAAGAAGTTAATACCTCATATTTCATCACGTTTGTTGACTGTTGGTGAGTGAAATCAATCTGAAATTTCCTCACAGTGGGTCGAACAAAGGATCTCTTCTTCTTTAACTTAAATCAGCTCTGGTTGATATGTTAATGTTACCGTATGGCTCCACACCACTCACTTAAACTGTCATACCTGTGAATTTGTATCACCAACTAAAGAGAAACTATTGTACAAGACTGTTCTGTTACAAGAGTGGATACACAGCAACACATTTTCTCTTTTTCAAACTCTTCAAACTCTACAGACTATTCGGGGGCGTTTATGAACTCAAGGACAAACTAGTGAATGCAAAAGGAGTAAATTGATCAATTCTATTCAAATAACTTTTTGTTATTTATCAGTGAGGAACTTCTACCTCTGTCCTTGACCAGCTCGACTAAAACCTGTGATCTTGTTTCTAATCTCATCTGACCTCGCCATAAAACAATTTATAGAGAAACATTTTAAGCCAATTCTTGGATATAAAGACTATGGACCTCTCCTCTCTGCCGTGAAGCTTAGAGCCGCAGACAATGTCCTCCAGCTCTGTTCTGTAAGCCTGAGCGCACTCCAGAAGAAAAGCTGCGTATCTGCCGACGAGTAAACACCATAAACATCGTAAACAGCGGCCTAATCCTGCGGCTAAGGGCTCCTGACCACAGACACAGGCCTTGTACTTTCTTCTATTACATCCGCAAAGCTCCACTTTTATCTGAGTCTAGAGTGCCATCAACATTCTGCCGTTTCATTTCAATATTTTTAACACCAAAAGATGGGGATTCAAGGTGACAGTGGAATTGACTCCCATTCCCAGTTAGTTATTGGGTTTTCTCCTTGCTGTTTTTCACCCACTGTTTTCATGCAGGTATTTTTGCTCAAAAGACAAATCCACAGAGCCTTTGATGTGACCACGTTTATGATACAGACTGAAATCTCAAATTAATGTTAAACATCAGCTGCAGGATATAGTATATAGCAGTCTCATGTTATACTTAATAGAACAATTCCAGAAATCATTTTTTGCACCAATAGAGTTAGAATGCAGGGCTCTTATGGTTCAAAAAAAACAATTTGAATAGATCAAATTGGATTGGATTTGTTTTCTCTTTCCAAATGCATGTTTTTTTTTAATAAAACTGTATTTATAAGGTGCTTTTTAGTATGTAACAGTATATTATTCACACACATGCACCTTTACACATGAGGCTGAGTGCAGGTGTAACCAGCTGAGGAATCGTCATCCGACTAGCCGTCTGCACCAGTAGCAGCCGTCTGCAGCCACAGGGGTCACCACAGGACCCAGAGGCGAGAGGAAGGCCCAGACCTCCACCATGTGCAAAACCCGACCCCGACAGGACCTAGAGGCCAGAGTCGACCACCGCTCCCAGTGCAGAGGGCAGAGGAAATACTGGGGATACTAAAACAATACATTGAAAGATAAATGATTGAAATACATAGAAAATATACCAATTAAATACACTAATCAAAGGCGAATCTTTACAAGTGTATCTTGAGCTTGTTCTTAAAAACATAAGCATTCTCTGCATTAGTGTTCAATACAGACAGATGAATATAGGCAGCATGTGACTTTCCTCTGGGGCACAGTGGCTGAGTGGTTAGCATGTATGTGGCATGTTTCTCGTTTCTCACCATGTCTGGTTTCCCATAACCACAAGAGAAAATCCTTCAGCTCCAGTCGTCCTGACCACACGGAGCATCAACATCTGGAGAAACCACTGATTCTCTTTGGTTAAAGGAGACTTGTTATAAAGAATTGGCTTTATTTAGCTTGCAAACTTCTTCCCTTATCAAAAAGCGACCTGTTATTAGATCTATTCAGGTTAATAAAACTTTAAGAAGGGTGAGTGCTTCAGTGGGTCGATGTGTGTGTGCGTGCCTGCATTCTTTTAAATTATCTGCCAGCACCTATAACTATTTTGGGGGAGGAGTGGGATGTCGGGGATTTCTTAATGACTATCTATGAATTATTTATGAATACATATGTGTGTTCAGCAAATTATATTTAAAGATTGATGTTTGATACATATTTTTTGTAGAACTAATACATGAATAAGACATAAAAATAGAGAAAAATGTTTGTGCAGAAAATTGAATAAAACAGATGTAAATTAATGCATTATTTCAAAAGACATCTGTGTGGAAAATCAACTGAACACAATTATCAACTTCACATAAACATGATCAGAAATACACTCATCATAAATGGTGTACAGTCACAAAGCAAATATCTCGTTATACGCCTGAAAAAACCCCTTAGAACACTCGAAGCTCCTAAATGATGACATGTTGAGTCTTTGCATCTAATCTAACTAAACATGTCTTCATTCTTTTCTCTGATATAGAATTATGCAGTGATACGTTAAGTTATTACAACTACAAATAAGAGTAACTCTTTCTGTTGCATAAAAGCAGATCTGTGGATCTATTTCCTCAGGTGAAATTATGTATCTTTATACAAGTGTACTGTGTTTGCAGCTGGTAATTTTCCAATGTGTTTATTTTTGATGGTTTTCTTTTATACTCAGAGAAAAAGT